CCTTTCATTTGCATTATAATTTGGTTTGTTTCACTTAGTTTTGGAATTAAGACTTTTAAAGTCCAAAGCACAACCTCGAATTGCTTAGCTTATTCGAATACTTGGATTCTTAGTGTTGTTATTCTAATCTCCCTTGGTTCGACCCTATGCTATGCTACAACAACTAGAGTGTGTTGTTAGCTAAATCTAGGTACAAATACAATTTGACACACATTAGATAGATTAGGAAGTTTAGAAAGGAGAACGAACTACAGGCTTTTGGAACAGCAAAAAGTTAAGGCGATTATTTCCCCCATCTCAGAGTGGCTATACCCACTTGCCCCTTTTGAACTTCTTTCTCCCATTATTCTTTGCTCTTTTACCACGTTGTATATATTTGAAACGAGGTGGTTTTCCTGGGGCTTCACTCTGTTATTTCCAGAAACTCCTTCAACTCCCAGCTCAACAACGCAATCGCCTCAATCTTGGCTGAATTAGCTACAATATTTGGATCCTTCACCAAGACCAACAAGGTTGAATGGCCATCAGCTTTCAGTTGTCTGAAAATATCATCAAATCCGTTATCCGAAGTCATAAGTATCGTGTTGTGAACGATCAACTTATTATCTTTAAGCCATTCTTCAATTCTTTTTTGCATAGCTCCATCTGCTGCTTGATCACCTTTGGAATCACTAGTTCCTAAAACAAAAAAAACAACATGTAATTAGCCTTGGTATCATAAGAAAATGTGTTGTAGACCGAGTTAAGTCTTTCCATTAGTATCCTCTGATCAATCTTCTATGATCACCACTTTGCAGTGTGGCCAAGTATCAGGAAGCCAATCCGGGTGTATTCACAATCGTCACCTTCCCCTTCCTTTTCGCTGTTATGTTTGGTGATTGGAGGCATGGAATATGTTTGCTCCTTGCAACTATGTACTTGATAGTGAGAGAAAAGAAACTTGCCAGCCAGGTAATACCCCAATTGATGTGACCTATGTTCTCATTGTGACCACGTGATTGAATTCTGTCTCAGCAGCAGAACCTGCTGATAGTTTAGCTGTTCTGTTTTCTTTTGGAGTTGCATGCAAATATGAAAGCATAGGAGACTCACTTGAAAATTCTAAAGAGCATATTATAACATGCATTTTGATTAATTGTTGATGTTTTGTTCTTGCAAGTTTTAGATGCTAACGCTTTGATTGTTGCTTCCTGACCACAGAAACTTGGGGATATTAAGGAAATGGCATTTGGTGGCCGTTATGTCATTATGATGATGTTACTCTTCTTAATATACACTGGTTTAATCTACAATGAGTTCTTCTCTATACCATACCCGTTGTTGCTCCCTCTGCCTATGATTGCCGTGATGTCGCATGCAGGTATGCAGATTACTTCAAGTTCAGGTT